ATGCCACTCAGGGGTGTGAATATTCCACCTCCAAGCAACGTAAGTTACACCAACATAAGCATTCATGTGGACAGCGCTATGTCGGCAGAAGAGCTTCTCCCGCTGACACAGCTTATGCCACTCTTGGAGGTAGGTTTTTTATGGCGACAGGAAAGCTCTCTCCCTTTGGCACAGAGCATCTTCATCAGATGAGCTGCAGCTGTACTGGTACAGCTGCGTTGCTGCAGCACATATAGACATGGTCTTAGTAACATACATGGCTTGTTCCAGCAGCAACTTACTTTACCAAACTTCTTCAGAGAGTTTGTGGTAGTCAAATTTAGTGACTTAACATTTCTGATTTAGTCAACATTTGTTTAGTCATGCTGGATTTACAAAGGGGCTTATGGAGTTAGGCACTTTATTCCCACAGAATTTAAATGGGGTTTGCATGTTTAAGTAATTAGTAGGCTCCACTGAAAATCCTAGCCTGAAACTACAGTACAAGTAAATTTTGTTGGGATTACACCAAAACCAACATGTTAGAATGTTACTGCTTGGCCTCTGCTTTCCCAATTGCTGAAGTAACAAAACCTCAATTGAAACCAAGCTCTAGTGTGATATGTACTAAACCAACAGTAGGTAATGACAAAACAAGTTTCTTTTTTCAGTTTTAGTAAACTGTGACTAAATAAATGAGAGAAACTGCACTGAGAAATTTTCTAGAAGTGTCTTCATCTGCCACCTGGATTAATTGTTCAAGATAGATTACCTACTTCCTTTACACATTATCAGTTTCTGAAATTAGAACAAACTAGTCAAGATTTAGATAATGTCGTTTGTACACCTGCAGTAGCTTCAACCCCAGGAGAAAAAAAAAGTTATTTTCTGAGCTCTACATCTGAGAGACTGGCCAGACATTTCCACCAGTCCACGGGTTTAACTTCGGAGTTCAGCAGCAAAACACACATTTTTGGGTGGTTCTCTTCCAGCTCTGAAAAATTATTATAATGTACATGTCATAGCAGCATTCATTTCATTTTTACTTTTAACATCTGTACTGGTACTTTAGATTGAAAATGCAGGAAAGAAAGTTGAATCAAGGAAGTGCGTTTACATATCTACAATTTAATTTTGGGTACCGCTGACATTTTTTCTGATCCTTGTCAAAGCTTGAACCATCTCAAACTCTTCGGAAAAAGTTGTAAGAAAAATTAGCTCCTTATATGAACCAAGCAATCTTCAACTATGAACTGTTCATTGAGAATACCAATACTGACTACAAAGTACTCCATGGTTGTTTTGGATGATGAAAATGGATATTTCTTTGACTGTGCACCAAACAAGCGTTCTAACAAGTTCAGTTGTACTGCTGCTGCCAGATGCATCAGATGGTGGTAATGATGAAGCTAACAACAATGCAGAAAGTGGTCATTCATCTCACCTGTATAATTCTAAAATTAACTGCCTGAAAACTTCGTTGACACACAGATAAAGTTGCCCAGTGCTGCCTCGTGCCCTTCCAGAATGTGGAGAGAGTGGCTAAACTTAAACCTCTGAAAACCAGGAAATACAAAGTTAAGGTTGTGTTGCAGGGATGGTGTGTACCTTAACTCTGTCCCTCTCCAGCTGGCAACAGACACTAGGAACGGCTCAGTAAAAATGGTGCCATAAGACACAAGGAAAGATTATGAGAAAGTGCCATTGTTTGTGTTGTGTTCCAGATCTGAATTGCACCACCACTATAAAATATAAATTGGAATAGTCATTGCATTCCAAACTCCTATTTTCACCTCAACTAACATTTTGGAATTAAACTTCTCATGCCTAGTCCCAACCTAAGAGGGTTAAACAGACGTTGATAGTTTATCTGTACTCAGATAATTCAAAGCAGTTAGTTTTTAAAACTTCAAACTTTCAATGGATTTAGTCTGAACTGAGGATTAATAGTAGAACGTTTCAAGAAATTTAGTTCAAAAAACTGAAAAATTATGTATGGTGTTTTGCTCAAATGATGTTTATACCAGCAGTATAGTAGTTTGTGCTTGTGGTTGGTGTTTTACTCCATTGCCTAAGCTAGTTCATACAGAATGTCTGTGTCAAGTTCAAAACTCAGCAGTACAAGGCTGTCAAATCAATATGGATACCTGGACATCTCCATTATATTATGGATGCTCCACTGCACTGCCACCTTTGATATTCTCTCATGGTCCAGTCCCATACCCACTGTAGTCAATGGGAGCCTTTCCCTAAACACGGACAGGCACTGAATGGAGCCTTTAATGACAAACTTCTAACCTTCAAACACTTAAAATTCTCATTCAGATGACACGAAATTTCTCTGCTTCTTGTTATAACCCCCACAGGAAAATAACCCAGCAATATTTAACTTTGTTTTTAAATATTTTTCTAAAATGTAATAAAAACACTAACATTACTCACCAAAAGATCCAGAATATTCAGACTGACAGAGAAACAGTATCTTCAATGTCATCCTTGGCATGGGTAGCACACTTTTCAAAATGTTCTTTCATTCCTGCTACCAAGCCCTGCATTGTCTTTGTTACGCTTATACAGCATGTGATCCTTTCTTAATACTTCCAAATGATACAGGAATCTCTTCAAAAATATTCCCATATGGGACTTTTGCATCTTGGAGACACGGTAGGTTCCCCCAAAAAATGTTTAGTACTATAACTTACTGGTATAACACTGTAAAAATTAAACAAAATTTTTCTGCAAAATTTGTATCACAGCAGTTGTGTTTCCACTTTAGTGTTCTCAACTGAACCCTGTTCAGCTCCAAAACTGATAATAGGTTATCATGCAGTTTATTATCTCATGCAATGGTAACTTAAAACTACCTGAGGGAAATAAGAAGTGCTAAGATATTAGAGAAAACGCAACAATTATTCAGTAGTCCAGGTTACAGAATTTTTTTTTAATACTTTTCCCATCTATAGTTTCTAAAGAGATAAAATGCAGGCTTGTTTTGATTAATGCTATTTAGACATGGTGCCTAACTTCAATCCACTGCAACACAAACTTTTTTCATTTTAAATTATAAAAATTTAAAGCATAACTTTCAGGCAGATGGTTGTAAATTCAGGTTTAAATTTGCTTTAATTTGTTTAAAAATGGTCTTTTTATTTTTAAGTTACGGGGTTTTATACCCTGTTCTAAAACTGTGGACCATATCCTCATTTCCAAGGAACCAAAATAGACTTTTAGGAGTGGGAGAAGAAAAGGAAAAGGACCAGAACTGCAGCATGTGCCTAGATTCCCCCTCCCCCCCGCCAATATTAACGCTTTCCCATTAAGACATCTTCTAAGTAACTCTAAAATATGTTATCAGGTAAGAAGAAAGTAGAATCAAGGCACATTAAAATTTTGTATTAGAATCAAGAATGGCCTCATTATTTAGCTGTGAACCATATGAATCTTCAAGTTAAACAATTGTCCACTTTCCTCAATAAAGCTAAGCTAAATATATTTTAATGCTATGCAACCAATGACACAAAATAGAAGTTCACCTTTTCTGCCAGGTTTCATTTCACCTTCTTGATCCATCCAGTATTCTCTAATATCAATTAGGACTTTCCCTTTAAAGTCACGAACACTGACATACCTCATTTTACCAATCTGCCAATAAAACAAATCAGAAGAATAATACATTTTACACAGAACAGGATTATTCATTTTTCTAATCAGCATTAAATACTTTGACATGAGGCACTGCATATTGCTGCAGCTTATTTTAGATTTAAGTAGAAATGATTGGATTAAGTATTTTCCCGAAGTAGCATATCAGGACTAATAAGTGATGACAGCATTAATGGATGAAGGACTTAACACATTAAGAGAATTCAACATTATTTCCTGGAAAAATGGGTGTCCTCAAAAGAAAATTCATGTGTACGTAAAAGCTGAATGCCTAATAAATATTGCCAACTTAAATTACTGATTCTTTCAGAAAAAAATCCTGCTTCCTTGTGCAAAATTTTTTAATGAAACTAGAAAATGCTAGAGAAGACAATACATTCAAATTTGTTTTCAAGCTATGAGACTAATGAAGATGATAGAAGAGCGATCACCTCCTCCCGCTCTAAATCGGAGTTCATTTCAATGCTTCCAGAAACAAAGATCTGCATGGGTTAAACAAACAAAAATCCTTGAAGTTCTGAATGTACTGGAAAAATTAATGTGGTGGAGGCCACAAGCTCCAAACACACACAGATTGTCTAATGCTTAGCTCAAGGCTAAATCCTCACAGAATTAGAGAATTGGATATCACAACCAAATTAAATCCTAGGTGGCACAAGAAAGCAGATTTCACATCTATATATGGCAAGCAACTGTCTGGTTTTCTCAGATTAACTGCACCTGACAGCACCATTAGAATTTCCAGAAGTCACCCTCTCACTGTGAAAAACCCCTATGAAGCACTGTATTGGTTCCACTGTTTTCAGACACCAAATTACATTAAAAGAAGCTTAAAAGCACAAACACTTCAATATTGCTTTTCCAGGTAAGCAATTGCTTTACTTGCCATAGGAATTTAAGTAATAAAGAATGGGAGGGAACAGTACTTTACCCTACATTTAAGAACTCCCTGCCTATAGGTGCCAAATTCTGAAGTATGTTACAAGTTTGAAAGCAATGTAAAATAAGTGAAAAGCATTCCAAGATGGGAGACTTTCATTCAACACAAAAAGTAAAAACATATTTTACTGGTTTTCCTATTAATCTTCATATTTAATTTCAGCACCGGTATGCCACTGACATTGCTAACAGACAAAAGTAAGTCCGAACCAGAATCCCAATCTTTGGAAATGTTCTGATTCAAGTCAGATTCTGGATACATCACAGTGTGCTCTATTTTTAAATATAAGGCAGACTGAAGAGCTAATGCGGAGTACTAAAGTTCAAGCCCAACTCTCACTTGCTTTGTCCCCCACCCCAAGCTACTCCCTTTGCCAGCACTCATGCCCTATGTTTAGACTTCTTTTCAGGCCCTTTCACCAAATTCTTCAAAAGCTCCTCCCTCACTCCTTGAGTGGAAAAACCCAGTCCCTTTCTTACTGTCTTAATGCAGGCATTCTCCTCTCCCCAATCTTTCTTGCAATGAGGAAGAGAAAACTGAATCGTTATATTCCTGCTCCTTTCTCAGCACACTGACTGATGTAAGGCTTACAACTCCCAGATATCCTCAGGAATCCCCCTGAATGCCTCATTGCAGAAATAGGATAGTATTGAACCCTGGGCCTGTCTTAAAGAGGCCAGCACACTCTGTTGCAAATACCACTAGCAGTTGTCCATGAAGATCTGTTTCAATCTTCTCTGATATTCTGTTAGTAAAAACTGAACCACAGAATAAAGAAGCACATATAAACTGAAGGACAAACTTATCCTGAGACCCTGTCTGGTACAGTGAGAGCTCTGACAGCTGCTCTTGGTCTAGTTGGGTAGACAAGAGGAGAAGCCATACTGATTTCTGGGAACCTCTTGTCAAAGTGCCCTGATTAAAAGCATTCCCATATAGCTCTGGTTTTGAACTAACATTTACAGCCTAATCATAGGCCTATTAATAATAGAGTCTACAATAGAAATGCTAAACTCTCAAAAAATGACACTATAAACCAAGACAAAATACTGGGAACAAGTGATACAATCAATGAACCAAAGTTAGAATTGAATGGCATAGCATGGATTATTTTCCTCTACCAAATCTCCCTTTCACTTTAACATTGTAACCATATTTAGCCAAAAGATGACAAGAGATTGAATGCTATACTATACCTGGATAAAAAACCAAAGCATTCAAAGTTCTCTTCATAAAGATTACAGAATACAAACTATAACATGCTTCCTCAGGAACCCTTCAATCAACAGCCTCTAGAAGTAGCATTATCAATATTACCTGGAACATATTCTCATCTCTGTTGCTGCTTTGTTTAGAGGAAGCTGCACCTTTAGAACTTTCACCGGTCTTTTGTTTCTTTACAGGCTTTTCTGGAGCTGCTTGCTTTTTCCTCTTTGCCTTTAAACCAAAAATACAAAGGCACATCCCATTTTATTAGTTATTAAAAGAAGAAATTAGAGGCTGCAAAGAACTATTCTATTATGTAGTTCATCTCACTACCAATACAAGACTTTAATGTATTTGGGGTGGGATTTTCAGAAGTGCTTTAAGATGTCCTAATTCTGCTCCTACTGAAGTCAATGGTAAAACTCTCATTGGACTCCAAGAGGAACATATTTAGGAGAATAAGCACTTTTGTAAACTCTATCTTTTGGAACCCAAAGAAGATCTAAATAAAATTGAGGTGGACAGTACATCTTCTTTTTATACACACTCACCTTGCATTTTTTACATCTCCCCAATTCAAGGGAAAAGGGAAGGAGAGAAAGAATGTTCCTATCTCTCTTTTATTCTGACTTTACCATTTTGTTACTA